CCCCTTGTTTATTGTGAAAGGACTATTGATGAAACCGAATGAAGGCATCAATCGGATTGTTCCTACGATTGTTATCAGTGTTAAATTTGCTGATTTTGACCGTTGGATTGTGGTTATGTAAGTGACTGTCCTTGTTCTGAGGAAATACACTGCAATATTTAGGAGTAAAGGAGCATAAAGTCTGCAATCTGTTTTCAAATGATTCAGAAAAAGAACTACGCATGTGTGTATGTATATAGGTTCATGCACACAACAGAGTAAACGTGCCGCATCCACGAGCAAACGTGGCAAAATGTTCATCCATGCAATTGGTGAATTGGGGTGAAGGGTATATGGGAATACGTCTCTTATAACCTTTGTCTAACTGTAAATAGTTTTATTGAAAAGAAAAAAAACAAAAATACTCAGAAAAAAGGGGTGAGAGTGCATGAGGCAGGCCTGGCAGAGCCAGGAGTGGTATTCCAAGGGCAAGGGTCAGAGCCCCTCCCGGGAGGCCCCTGGACCCCCAGGCCTGCAAAGTGAGCCTGGGCACTGGGTGGGAAGCTCAGCTGTCTTACTCTGGCCCCTCACTCCCCGTTTCTGGGCCTCAGTTTCTTTAATTGTGAGATGGGGATAATGATGTCTGTCCCTTGTATTGTGATTTAGGTTTCCCAAAAGCAACCTAAACTTACAGAAGTCCCAGGGGGAAAAGTCAGCAGATAAAGCAGGAATACGAAGGTCCAGTTGAGAGGAGCCCTTAATTTCTTATCTCCATAAAATAGACGCAAGGGCTGTGAGGGTGTCCCTTGGACACGATCTCCAGTTTGCGCCAAGGGAGTGGGACCTCTGACATCTCAGCTATCTTGAATCACACAGTGGGGTCTTCCCCTGTCCAAAGGGGCAGCCAGCACGAATGCACCCTGTGGACGGTGCCCTTCCGGGTTAGCTTTATGTCAGGACAGAGCCGGAAAGTCAGCAGGTCTGGGGATGCACATGCCTACCCCCCATCATCACTGCCTGTCTTCCCACCCAGACCCCTGCCTGGAGCTCCACCAGCTGCCTGGGGCATATCCCAGGACCTGAATCTATCATGCCCGTGTCCCCAAGGGAGGTTTGAGCAGAGCAGTGATATGTCCAGCCTGTGTGTTCCACGGACGGCACAGACCACAGATGGCACAGAGGGAGCAGGGCAGGTAGATCGGGAAGGAGCAGCTGCAGCACCCAGTTAGGAGACTGAAGCCTGGGAAACCTTGTAGTAAGTAGACTGCTGGGTCTAGTTCCCTGTAGCTCCGAATCTGAGCTCCACCAGGCCATACTGACTCTGGCAGCTGCATTCTCCAGTCTCTCCATTTCCAGCACAGTGAGGCTCCTCTCCACAGCCCTCCCTCTGTGCCAAGAGAGAGCTGGCAGGCACCAGTGGCTTTCATCAGGAACCGGGACAAATCAATCTGGCTGAGCTGCCTCCGCATCGGAACTGCTGGGACCTGCAGACTCTCACCGGCTCCCAGGCCAGCACAGTGGCCCCCTCTCCTGGGAGGGAGGGAGGGAGCGAGCTCCTGACTCCCCACCCCCTGCTCCTGAGCAACGATTAATGCCCTAGAACAGCTCTCTCCAGGGCTCCAGATCTGGTGGCCTTTGGAGGCACAGGGCCGAGGGCAAGGTCTCCCGAGGGTCCTGGGCCTGGAATGCAGAGTGGGAAGGCTGTCTTGGGAGTCTAGACCTGCACCCACTCAGCATTCAGCCAGTTCTCTTTTGCTCATCGTGGGACATAAATATTCTCGCATGGGTGTATGTGCAAGTTTAGGCATTGCAAGGGCCCGAGCATACACATTTTCCATTATACCTGACTGTTAACAATAATAGCAGTTAATTTTAATATTTACTATATGCAGGACAGTCTAAGGGCTTTACATATATCTCATTTAATCCTCACAAGGAGGTAGATTTTCATCATCCCCGCTTTCTAGAGAGGAATCTGACACACAGGGAGGTATGCCGCATGTCCAAGGTCACAGCTAGGATTGGGCATCTGAATCTGAGGTCCTCGACCTTAACACTGCCTCCTTAATTGGTGCTCAACAAGTGTTCGAGGACCTGAATTATGTGGGTGCACACATAAGAGAGAAAAAGAGAGAGAGAGCAAAAGTGAGTGCATCTTTTCATTTTGAGATCCGCCTGCATCCCCACTGCTTGGCATGTCCCTCACCCGTAGTCAGTGTTTCCTAGATTGGCTTGTGTGTAACAAGAGATTGTGTCCATGTGAGAACGAGCGAGAAAGAACAAGATTTGACCACTGGTGTTCCTCTGCTTATGGAAAGGGGTCTGGAGATGGGGAGTGATCATATCATCTTTAATCTTTCCCAAAGGCTTTTCCTTCTGCCAGCAACCCCTCCCCCACCCAAGTCTGGGCTTCTCAGGTCCTCGGGGCCAAGGCCACCTTGGCTTGGCTTGGGGAGTGAGGAAGAAGGAATGTTGTGCGTGGCTTCTACTATTTCTCTGGGCACGAGTATTTCTCACAGCATCGGGCCTCCCCACCTCCTAGGGTCTGGCCCTGTCACTTTGAAAGCTTTGCAGGGGTGTCCCTGAGACACACTTCCTCTGTTTCTGCTCAGACAGTGTTTGCTGTAAAGTATGTCAAAGCATTTGGGCTTCAGTTTTTGGTTCAGAGTATGCCAATGTTTTCACTTGGAAGGGGAAGTGTTTCTGTTGATATGGTAGAGATAAAATAAGACATTCTTCATCAAGTTATACTGTCTGAAAGTCAAGCATTTGGCTTTGGAGCACGGATTCATCTTGGGATCCCCAGAGCTTAGCACTGGGCTTGGCAGAACAGCAGGCAGGGCTAATATTTGTTGAATGACTGGATGAGTGAATATGGAAACAGCCTAGAAGCAGGTGTGGTAGATGATCAATATCAGTATAGGTTTCGAATGGCTCTCATAGGCTCTACCTTCAAAAAGTGTTCTCCTTCTGTTTGTGTTTCTCCATCTTCACTAACCTAGGCTCATCCAAGCCTGTCACCTCTGACCCAAGCCACTGAACAGCTCCTAACCGGCTTCTCTGTTATCACATTTGCCCCTATAGCCCATTCTGCCCACAACTGCCAAAGCCATCTTTGTAAAGTGTGAACTGGAATTGTGTCATCCCCTGCCTAAAACCTTCTGATGGCTTCCCACTGCTCATGGCTGTGGCCTCCAGATCCCGCACAGTCTGGCCCCTACTCACCCCAATGACACCTCTTGGGGCCACTCTCCAGCCATGCTGGCCTCCTTTCAGTTGCTGCAAGAACTGTCTCCCACCCGATGGCCTTTGCTCTGGAGATTCCCTTTGCCTGGATTGTTATTCTCCAGGTCTTTGTGTCTGGCTACTTCCATCAGTTTAGGGCTCAGCTCAAATGTGTCATCTCAGAGGGGCCTTCTCTTGACCCCCCAATCTGCAGCAGCCGATCTCTGTTCTTTTGTGTCACTCACTCAGTAGATATTGAGCACCTACTAGATACCACGCATCATTCTAAGTGCTGAGGAAACAGCAGGGCACACAATACGGGATGCCCGTGTCCTTCTTACCTGCCTTCATAGCCCTCAAAAAAAATCTGATTATCTTGTCTGGGAGCCTGCTTGTCTTTCTCACCAAGTGCCAGGAGGGCTGGGGCTAAGTCCGTCTTGTTCTCGGTGTTCCCCATCAGGCACAGTAAATACTCAGTAAACATTTGTTCAATAAAAGAACTAATGGATGGATGGCAGGCAGACTGGGTAGGTATGCAGAGCAGCTCAACTGAAGCTTTCTTCAAAGAAATCTCACTGCTGACCCGTCAAGGGAGCCCCTGGCCCGCAGCACTACTGGCAGTAGATCCAGCCCCACCCTGTATGGTCATCTTGGCTCAGACAGGCAACAGAGGAGAGGTGTTACTTCACCCTGCCTGGAGTCAGGGGCATTAGTGTCTGTTTTCCAAAAGAAGCCCTTGCCCATGGCCTCAGTACTCCCATCCACTGCCACTCGGGCCTTGTGCCTATTGACACTCCAGCACTGGCCGGCTGACGGGCTCCAGCCAAGGAGTTTCTGCATGCCCCGTGAACCCTCACCAGACCCAACAGTCTGCCGGTCTCTCTCTCATCTAGTCCAGCAGCCTCTCTTCCTTGCTATGTGACTTTGGCCAAGTCTTTCTCCTTTCTGGATCTTCATTTCCCTCCCACCAAAACACAAGGTGGGGCTGCACACAGCTTCCTGGTCACAATCCAGAGGAAGGACTTTAACATTTCAGTGCAATGATCCTGCGGTTCCTTCTCCTGCTGGCCCAAGAGCCCCCTGAGGCCTTGCAAACACTGCAAGGCCCAAGCACCAACCCCCAGCTTGCCTGCTCAATGAAGGCAGCCTGTGAAACTGGCAGCCCCTGCAGATGTGAGCTGCAGAACTGCTGAGCTGGGGCACCCTGAAACCTCATTCCAAAAAAGCAAACCCAAGGCCAAAGGTAGTAAGGGTTCTTTGCTGAATTCTCCTCTCACAGCCAGGAGCCTTGCTGAGTCCCCACCCAGTCCCCCAAGGGGCCACAGGACAAAGGTGATCCGTGCCTGGCTTCTTATCTTTTCTGACACTCCAAATCTTTATCCTTCCAGGACTAGTGAGGATTCCCCCTCACAAACACACACACACACAAACCAAGGTCATCAGCAAGCCAGGCTGAGGATGGGAGGAGGGGCTGACAGCTCTGCCTCAAATGGATATGGGTGCAAAGGCTTTTTCCACAAGCTGTAGCAGTTAGTACGCCGGCTAACCCAAATGCCACCTTAGGCCCTGCCTCCCTTCCCTTCTTCAACAGCTATCACCTTCGTTAGGGGAAGCTTTCCAACTCCAACTAAAGACCTAAGAGGAGCCCAGCCATTCCTGGCACCCAAATAGACGTGGGGGAGGTAGACGGAGCAATCAGAAGGCTGGGGGAGGGGTGTGTGTTCGGCTTGGAGATGCCTCTCTCGTCCCCACCAGCGCCCCAACCCGCCCTCATTCCACTAAGAGAGGGCACTTACAAGCCTTGGAGGCCAGAGAGGGCCTCGTCCTGGAGGTCCCATCCCTGGCCAGACGATGCCCTCAACCAGCAGCGGCGGCATGATCTGGGCTCCTGGTCCTGGAGGAGGGTTGCGGGTCGCGGGAGGAGTGGGGGACCGGAGCCAAGCCTACTCCAAGTAACCATCGAAGACATCGAGCTCTGAGTCGGCATCGTAGAGTCCCGAGCCGGGGTCGGAGAGCACGCCGAGGTCCACGAGCGCTTGGTCCATGTCCTCCGGCAGGAAGACGAGGCCCACGTTGAGGACGATGTACTCCATGAGAAAGGCGTAGTACAGGATCAGCACATTGACGAAGAACAGGCCCACGTAGAACATAGAGGGCAGCAGCGGCGGCGGCACGTTGGGGACCAGGGGGCCCAGCGCGTCCAGGTGGGCCGCGACCCGGGCGCCGGGCATGCAGGGG